TCTCTCTCTCTCTCTCTCTCTCTCTCTCTCTCTCTCTCTCTCTCTCTCTTTTTCTCTTTCCTTTTCACTTCCTCTCCAAACGTTTCTAGGCAGATACGTCAATTTTCTTCAACACAGTACACATTGAAACGGTCTCGAACAATAAAAATAATCTCACCACGGAGATCGTTTCGGAATCGTAAAAATGCTTGTCGTTTTTCCGTTTCACAAGGTAAACGTAATTCCCTGTAATCGCTATACGTGACCAGGTTACGTAAAATGCGTATCAGATTCGTATAATAATAGAGGCACTAGGTTACACAGCTAATCCCCAAGAGATAAATAAAACACGATAGACCCGAGATACTTTATTGCAAACATGGATAACGCGCGCGCTCTTTACACGTTCTCCACTTTTACTATGTTTCTTCGCAAATAGACGAACAAGTAAAATCTCCGTGATCGAAACAGTTCATGGAATCGCTCGTTCTTGAGTCGCGGGACTTTTTTGCGACTTAATCGAAGAGCTTTCTAAACATTTAGTCTGTATTTTCTTTTTTTTCTAACGACGGTCGTATGTTACGTAGCTTCCCATAGTGTTCCTTATACAAATCTATGTTTGCAATGTTAGGAATGTTTTTGTATGCAGAAGAAATCGTACAAAAGTATGCAATTATTTCCAATTTGTCTTAAATCCAATATTTGATCAATTCTATAAACTACAAACCGTACGAATCGTCAAGTATATTGAATGCATATTTTTTGTCTATAATTTTATTAATACCATTTATAAAGAAAAGTATCGCGAAATATTTTGATCATTTGAGCGCTTGATAATTAAGTGCGACGACTCGATAGATACACCCCTTAACAATAGCATACTTCCCGTTAGGAATATATATTTCAAATAGTTACCAAGAAATGGCGATCTTTTCAAGTTTGTATTTATTGGATTTAGGACATTTTAGAAGAAACCTGTTCGATTACTTTCTCTTTGAGCTTCGTCGAATACTTTCCGAAAACCGGCGGCAAATCGTTTTCTCGGTAAAAATTTAATAACAAGCAATGCTTTCCCGTAGCATCTGCGCGACATCAGTTTGATTTCACGTTTTCCGTAACACGATTTATCCTCTTTAATACTTACAACGAGTTTTCGATCAGTTTAACGGCTATCAGGATGGGCAACAATTCCACGTCGTGGCAGTTTTCCACAAGTTTTGCGGCCGCTTTCGTTCGATCGCCGGAGACATGGCACAAACACGAGCGTGCGTGAACGAAACTTTGAAATTGATAGTGTTACCAGGTATCGCTTCGAATTTGCGAGTACCCCGCATCCCCTTTAATAACCCTCGGCCCCTTCTACTTCGGTTCTCGCACCGTTCCCATAATTAATCACCCACTTAGAACGTTTCAATTTCATTTTATCGACAATCACGCAGTCTCCCATCGTTACATTCGAAACATGCAAAGCGTGACTGCTGGATCGATATTAATCCTCTATTGCATAATGTTAGCTGATTACGAACCCGATAAAACGACTCGTAAAGTTCGCCGGGGGAAAATTTACGGGATTTCCACGCGATAATTTCGCGAGGCACCTGGCCGATCTGCTGGTTCCCTCTTTACTTTGGTTAATTAATTAATTCGTGTACTTGCGAATAATTGCGAAATAACGTCGATTTGGATTCGTTTGGATACGAAATAAAATTCGTGCGATAGAGGGTTAAGCGCAACGATTAGCTAAAGGTGCCGATGACACTGTTCGCTACTCAAAATTAATATGTAGATACGAAGATGGAACCATTAGGACGACGATTCGATGCACGTCTGCGTCGAGATTCAACAAAATTGTAAAACCGCGATGTGTACGATTACGAGACAAGATCATTGTAATTTCCAGCAAGATTTCGCAAACATATCTGAATCAAAAAGAACAATTCGTCGGATAATCGAAGGAGGACTCCGATTCTTCGTTTCGACGGTAGCCGAGGGTGAAAAGGAATGCGAACGAAACACTTCGTTTTACATGGTTTTAACGTTTTGCTAACTTTTAACCACGCGTTAGGGTTCGTTATGTATTCGTCGACATTTCGTCTGCATCAGGATTGGAATTATTTTTCAGGAACTCGCGCGTAAAGAGAGAACAACACCGAACAACATTACATATCGTGGTTGCGTTAATGATGCCACTGCTCTGGAAATATAATAATTGAAAGAAGAAGATAAACGTAAAAGAAAAAAAATAAATAACGACAAAGTAACGTGTGATTTTTTAGGAGGCTCAATTAAGCAGCACGGTGTGCGTTTCCGTATCGACGATACACGGTGGAGAACAACAAAATGCAGACGAAAAGTTTTAAAAAAAAGGGATCAAATACTGGATACTGTATTTATTAATTCACGTTCGATAGAATCCAGGATGATGGCGAAAACAAATTAACGTGTCGGGTTTACGTAACAGGAACGACACGCGCGCACGGCGGCCGAAACGTTTTTTCCAAAATGATAAAAATATTCTCGTCGACTGCGACGACGAAACGAGATTTTACAAAAAAAAAAAAAAACTCTTCGAAATAAGTCTGCGTATTAGTTAGAAGTTCTGAATGCATGTACGATGATGGACTTCCCTCACGTTCTGTGAGTCCATTGCGTGTACGAATTTCACGTGAATAGAATCGTACGCGTATCGTGTGGTACCGCTATCGATTAAATAGAAGAAGTGTATGATGAACGGTACGACGAAAAAAAAAAAAAAGAAAATAAGAAGGATAATAAAAGAAACCACGACACTTAGACTTATTTCGATCGATTCATTCACTCGCTTCCCTCACTCTCTACGTCGTAAGTCGTCGATCGTTTGCGTAAAAAGAAAAGAACGGTAGAAAAGAAAAAAAAACAGAAAAAAAGAAGAAGACAAAGTACTTCCGCGAGAATCTCCCATCTTGTTTTCCGTCTGCGTAAAACGACCGCCCTTTTCCCCCTTCCTCGAAAGCCCAATTTTTGTCACGCAATACCGAAGTATTCCATAAAATAGACCTAAAAGAAGAAATGGTAGTCAATCGTCATTTAATAATTCCGATCTCAATTTACGAAAGTAGGGTAAACTCGAACGAGTGGAACGATATTGTTACGCGTTTTGAGAGAGACGATCGAATCGTAGGAAAGAACCCCAGGCGAATGGACGCATTCACCGATATCAACGAATGAGTTATTAGGAACGTCACTGTGTTTTGGTTCGTCTAAGTAACGATCGGTAATTGCGTAAACTGTGGGTGGACTGATTGTTTCAAGTTCGTTGGGCGATAGGAGCAATCACCTTGGCTGTAATTTCTTGGCGATGGTCGAGATTAGGAGATGGAGATGTTTCTTGGTGTTTCCCGTTTAGTATACTCTAGGTTTTATTTTAGAGGCATATTTAGAGGCATGCACCTAGGACAAGTGAAAGTCAATTCGATATTTACCATTTCTTTTTAGACGAGGTAAAAGCTATGTCGACTTTACAGAAAATGATTCAATAAACAAATAATATTGGCAATGCAATAGGTAATAAGAGATTGTATCGTTGATTTACTTTTCAGGAATCAAATTTATTTACCCAAAGAGAATCGCATTAAAATAGAAGCAAAATTGTTCATATTCGATAAAGGACACCTGAAAAGATGTTTCTCTCTTCTTACAACACGATCGTTATTAAGAAACTGCAATCGAGAAGATTGCCGTCATTATCCGACGAGGTTGAACAAATAATTAGCCCGCTGTTTGAATAATTGCTCATCACTGATATATAATTTGATTTTCCTCAGAGGATGAACGAGCATAGAAACGCAAGAGAAAGAGAGAGGAAGAGAAACGCGTCAACGGCTTGAATAAAATTGATCTCTTTCCGGTCTAAGCAAGGAAAATTCGCTAGAGACGTAAGATCAGTAGGATAATAGGTAATAAAAATCTTTATTACTCGAAACGAAAATTCGATAAGCGCGACGCGTTTTTACACGTTCCGCGTGCGTAATCTCCGCATCGATAGTATCTACCATAGAAAATCTCTGTGTATTTACGCATCGTATGTATCATCTCCGACGTAAATTTAAGTTACGTTTACTGTTGTAAGATTTATACACGTCGTCGGTCTCTCATGTCGGTGAAATCCCGTTTTTTCATTATAGTACCTAGGTACACGGAGAGAGCAAACAATTTTTCGTACGTTGCTTAACGTTTTTCGCCCGCCTTTTTACGAACCTTTGTGTCTTACTTCGAACATTATTCGCATCCGTTGAAACCGAATTTTAATAAAAATCCACAATTGAAATATCGACTCGTTTTAGTGTTTCTGTTACGCATCCGTAAAAATTCTCACCACAGAAACAGAATCGAGAAGGAAGGAAGAAGAAAATAAGACAAGTCGTGAACAACGATACCGATACCTTGTTAAAAGTCTCAGCGACGATACTAAACGACGCGTGGATGGTTCCGTGTGTATAATACAAGTATAACGCACGGAGTAAAGGCTGAATCTAGAAGAAAGAACACTCTTTCGTACTATATAAAAAGATTCTTTCATTTTTTTTTTTTTTTTGTAATATTTATTATTTACAAGATACAGTCAAGGCTGGATAAGTGCAAGAAAATCGAGACCCAAACATTGCAGTTATCCAGTCGAGATTTCTATTCTGTTTTTACATTTGGCTCGAGTCGGGCGTCGAACGTAGAAAAGGACAGAGAGTGAAAGAGAAAGAAGTCCGAGGAAAAAAAGGAGTCGGCAGAAACGTATCGGTGAGACAATAGTAATGTAACAATACATATCTCGGTTAGGATCATCACTGCACGCTCGCCGAGTGTCAACGGGGAACCCCCCCCCCCCCCCCCCCCAATGATGAGGATAGTCATGTTGCATTTATCAAGTCAATATTGTCATTCATTCATTCGTTTATTTAAAGTACGTAACTTGTTATACAAAGTTATTGCACTACTGCTTACTTATTACTAGCTTATTTCCATTCTTCTTATCATCGTCTTACATGGCTCCTGCATTGTTTTAACCCTTTGCACTCGAGAGGTGACTTTCATTCGCCATTAGGTTTCATGCAGCAAATCTACAATACCTAATGTTTTTTTAGGTTTAATTTCTTTGGAGCTCGAAGTGTCGATAAAATGATTGTCGGCGAGGTAAAGGTGACCGTATTCTTAAATCTAGATACCTTAGAATTCATGACAACAGAATGCTAAGAAACATCTCGAGTTGCTGGTAGATGCCAGAAAAAAAAGGCCTCGAGTGCAAAGGGTTAAATACTGTTTGCAGTATTTCTTACTTCTCGTCTATTGGGGCGCGGGGGGGGGGGGGCCCCCCCCCCCCTCTAGCTCGGGTACCTCGGAGTTACTAAACCCGTACTGTAGCTACAAACACCGCTACAGGCCCCGAGGGCTCAAACAACGTATCCAAACAAAATCTGTTCATTTATGAAACCAAACACGAACAAGTCGCTTTAGCACATTTGATTAAAGCTTCAAATGCCGTGTAATTACCGTCGCCATTTATTTAATAATTATGCGATCAAATATTACATTCGAATGAGAAATATTAGATTGTCCCAAAAGTTTCTTTCGCTCTATTAATAAGTAATACATGCACAATATTTTATGTTTTATGTTACATTACTGAATTGTACACGATTCATTTTGCTCCATTGCTGTTACAATACGAATATCTATGAAATTAGATTGTCTATTTATATAAACACGATCACATAAAATAATCGAGTGCAACTCGCGAAAGAAACTTTCGGGACAACCTAATATAACCATATCCACTTGCTAATTTTGTATTACCATATCACATTGGAAACCTTTTCGTGTAAGAGGACAAGCTTGAACTCTGACTTGAAAATGACGGAAATGACACCGCTGCAGCCCCTGAGGAACGTCAATCCTGTCTTGCGCTTATCCAGTCTTTACTGTATACGTTAGGCAGTAATAGAGCCAGTGCCTCATTGCTCGGTCGCTGTCTCGATTACAGATAAGATTAAATTTAGACATGTTCTTTGTTCGCGGTGTCCAGCTGAAAATCTATTTTGGCTCGGATCCCACCGAGATGTAACGCGCCACTGTTCGTTACTTCGATTATTAATGGTCTTTGCACCGAGCATCGATAAACCTGACGCGTCGGAATCGCCCCTGAAACGTAGAAAAACCATTCGCGACGACACCGAAGCGTGTCGTCGTTGCATGAACGGTTTTATTCGATCATATCAAGCCAAGCGAAGCCGGTCGATAAACTTATGGCGAAGCGTTCGCCCCGCGCCGACTGGCTATTTCATTCCTAAATCAATACAAAAGACGTCGCCAATTTTACGACGGCTACGCTTCCCTTTGATGCCCGCCACCAAAACGATCCTCCGACATCCACGACTATCGCGCGAAACGCCAAAGGTGAGTTAGTCAACAACCTCGATGGATTTTCAACGAACTTGCCAGAGTCCTCAGCCGACCAGCGACACTCGTTGGCTGCAGAGGATCTTAACTTCTTCAACGCTCAAGGGTTTCCCTTAATTACTCGACGCCAAAGTTGGACACTATTTAAACGAAAAAGTTCTTCGACGGGGCGTTTTTGTATGTGCATAAATATGCTCGCGAGCCTGAAGTACATAGATCTCGAAATATGAATTTCGTGTGGGCAGGTTGTTGAAGGGATGTTGTTTGAACATGTGCACCCTTGCTGGTGCAAAGGAAGTAAAAAATAGTTAAAGGTGAAACGATGTTCTCTGGTTTTGAGTCTGCAGGTAGAAAATAGCCGTGTTTTTGTTGGTTTCTGGACCAATCAAGTGTTATTAACAACAATATTATTAATTTCAATTATCTCGAGAATTTAGAACCAAAAGTTCGTGAATTGCAATTCTAATTGTTGCTGTGTTTTCTTTTTTTCTTTTTAAATGAAACTACTTCCATATAAATGATCTCTATTCTGTATCCATCTAAAATTATTTTATTAATTAATAGAAGGAGCAAATCATTGTGATACAACCTAATAATAAAGGATATACATTTTCGCGTATCTTCTGCATTGAGTGTGTATCAGTTCCGATTGTGTTTTTAGGTTTTCATAGAAGAATTGATAAATATAATAGATAGACATTCTGTATGGTTCAATTATACGCTAACCCCCGCACCCCTATCCTGTACTCCAAGAGCACACAGAGCATTTCTAGTTAAGAACACCCGCATTATCCTTCGCAATGAGAAAAGGTGAGCTCATTACTTCTTCTTTCTACAGGGTATACTTTCCTGTTGCCACGGCAAACGAGATATTTAATACCAGTAAAAGAAGTAATTTCATTAACGTTACGGAGAAACGAGCGGATTGTTCAAAGTAAAGTTTAATAGTATGAAGTTTCAACTCTCATTCGACGTTGAATTATCTTTCTATTTACGACTATAATTTTCTTTTTTTATTAATGAAAATTTGTAATTTATCCATTTTTGTTTTAATTTTTTCCATTGCGGTACGTCTACGCTGCGTAAATCGTTAAAAATATCTCTAAACAATGTACGGAAGAATTATTGAGCATAAAAAGTTCTACAAAAAAGTCCGTGACAGCACATATCTATCTTTAAAAGAGAGCCCGCATCAAACGTTTTTATGTCATGGTTTGTAGTACCAAATCAATGTAAAACTTACCTACCATTTTTTAAAGTAAAATCAATTGTTTATTCAGCTGAAGTATCTAATACGAATAAAACATGTCCTTTACAGTCAAAAATAAATTGATCAATGTATTAATTTATACGAAAAAGACTCTTAAACTTTAATTTAATTACATAAAAAGACATTCAAATTTACCGCGGAAAATGGTGTCATCATCTTGCGATGAACGGCCCAAACTAGTGTCGGACCTCTCGAATAGTTCCTATTTTTACAGTGTATTTTACCGACTTGTCGATACATTACCATAATGTCGGTAAAAAAAACACTGCAAATGGCCCCATCTAGCATTATAAATAAGAACTATTCGACGATAAACTTAAGCATTTTCCCGATAGAGGCGCTGATCAAACACCAAACCAAAAATTAGTTTGAACCCACAAGAGAAACTGTGGTAGTTTAAAAAAGAAAGCTAGTATGTTATAAATTGATATTGTAAACCTACAGAACATAAAGAATTTAGATTGTCAAGAAAAATAATCAAATTTATCAATTTTATTCGTATTTAAGTTGTATATTCTTTTACTTAATAATCATAATTGAAATGTTTCTGGAAACATGAAATTACAAGTATTAACAAATTCTTAGTATAAAACTGTTAAAAAAATTCTACAAATTGGAGTAAACTCAACCAGGATTATCGAAGCGCGTATCATTCGATGCGTAATAGTCATAGTTCAATTATTTGTGACATTCTATGTTATAAACAACCAACATGTTCATGAAGTACTTATGAAAAGAAAAATAGAAGATAATGACATAGAAGACAATAGACAAAAATTGCTTTGTATGACGCTCTATAAGAAAATTAAGTGTTTATGAAACTGTTGACTGTTATATACATATGACGACGCGATATGAGAATAATAGATAATAAAAGGATTTGAAAATGAGTGGTAATGTGCCCATTCATTTGCGACTTTTTCGGAAAGTAAAATATATCGATATTAAAGTAAGACAACGTATAGTGAATTACAGTGAAATTAATAATTCTTTTTTGAAAATTTAAGTAATGAATGAATGTCTACAACCGTGATTAATAGAAAGGAAAATAATTCAAATTCATAAACTCGCAAACGCTTTTTGTACAAAGATTTACTTTACTCTTTTTAATTGCTTTTTTTTTTTTTTAATTTTTATCTTTGGCAGAGTATCAATGAATCTTTTAATAAAACTGTACCAGATTTTTCCTGTACAAGTAGGTTATATGTAACTTATTTTGAGGTCCCTTTACTCGTCATTATGTTTATAACTATAATTTATTGAACAAAATATTGTAAATTGATTTAACAGTGTACAACATGCTAATCTATCTATAAAAGTCTTAAAAGTTCGTATGTACTAATTAATGTTAGACTTTTAATCAACCTGAGAAATTTTGAAAAAGAAATATTATTTTGAAATAATACTTTTCCTATCATTAAACATCTCGCTCTTCAAATCAATTGTGTACAGATGCAATCTTTTTTCAAATATTTAAAGCAACGAAATTATTAAATGTTCCCTGTTAGGTTATTTACTTATACGTATACGTGCATGTATACATACAGTCGTTATATACAGGACGTTTCATAAAATGTGATAGATTTTGGAAACAAGAGATTCTTTTTAAAAAAAACGTAATTCTTAATATTTCATTATATTGCCGTGGTAATCTATACTTTCAATCATTAGCGATCGAATTTATCAAAAATTCATGAATCTCTTATTTCCTGAATGTAGCACACATTAAAAAACAGCTTGCACATACACATAATACATATATGTAATATAAAGAATCTTACAGATTATAACAGGTTATTAATTTAAAACTACAAAAGAACTCGATAGAATGTATCTATACCCTACAATTTTTAATGAAATATTTCATTAAGAAATTTTATATAAAAGATAACTACCTTTCAAGCATAAACAATTGTAACATTTACATAGATTTTTACAATTTGAAAATAGTAGACAACATCATTCGATTAATTTCACGAGGAGTCCTTTTGCAGTTCATAATACGATTTCATTCTCGTAGTAATGTAAATCTAGATAACAAAAAATATATATTTTACAGTACCGTTACATTACTATAGCTTTAAATAAATTGTTATCTTCATACAGATTACATAGTAATCTTTGCCATGACAATTATCAAATTGGATCACTGTTCTCGTAACACCGATAAACATTTTTTGAGCAATTCCGCGTGTGCCTGCAAATGAAATACAAAAATAATTGTTTAAATATCAACAAATACATATATTAAATATATATACTTAAAAAAATGTATGCATCCTTACTTTTGCATGTTTTATTTCTAGTTCCGTTAATTCGATTAGATTCTTTCTAAAAGCAGCTACTCTTCTTGTTTTGAAATCCGTCAATTCTGTAAATAAAATCGTAATAACATTTATTACTCTATAAGAACTCACTAAATAAATTTTTAAAAAGGGAATAAACATAACGTACCTTCTTTTCCTTTTTCCGACATTTGTTCAAATTTTTCACATGCTTCTGTTTGAGCTTGTTCTGCCTGGATCAACAAATAAAAGAACCATTTCAAACTTCACTTAAATTTATAATATCGTAATATTTAACAAATAATATTGAATACAATATCAAAACTCCCTTTTGGCGAAAGCATATTTGTAAACAAATCTCAAAACAAATGTAAACATTTAATTATTTTACTTTTCAAAATAAAATTGCTCATTAATTTCGTTTGCCGCAAAAAATCTGTTTCACTAGTAACATTTTTAAGACTTATGTAAATTTCTCATTTATTATTCAGAACTAAAAAGACAGGTATGTGGGAAAACAAAAGTACATGCAGATTTTCATCATGCAATAAAATAATGGTTTAATGCATAACTATTGATTTCAGTCATTGATTTCTCTACTGTCACCTCTTCTAATTAATAAAATACTATAAAAATTAATCAAATATTGCTGTATTAATTATGAAAGTCAAAGTCATAAAAGTATTTATAATGTTGATCCATCAGATAATTTATGTGAAATAATTATATTTTGATGTACATTATGTATCAAAGTTTGATATTACATGACATGTTTGGAAACTCAAAGAACATTGTTTAAAGTATAATCCACTACAGCAAGGCAGCAAACATACAAGTAGAGAAAAACACACCTCAGCAACCTCCACTGCCTTGACGAGCAAGAAAAATTAAATTTTTGGTTAGATTCTATGCATATTTAGAGACAATACACAATTTCACAGAAAATGATGATATAACCTTAATCTAGTCGTTTTTGATACCTCTTTCAGATGTATTGTATCAATTTGATATGCATCTTAATGTTTAGTTAAAAGTAGTTCTACATCTTCACTTTTCTGATTTCTATGCCTTGTATAAAATTATGTAAAGTAGTATACTTACAGCATGAACATCTTTATTTTTGGCACGAGCTTTTTCAAGAGCACGATTTGCAGATTCATATGCGTGTAAAGCTTTTAATCTCCTAAAAAGCAGTCGTTTGGCTGCAGCTGTATCCCTCATGTAGTAACGAAGAGTGTCTGACAATTTTAAATCTTCATCAGATGCTACTCGTCCTTCAACTTTCTATTCCATTATAACATTACAAACATGAATGGTAAGAATAAATAAATAAAATAAAATAAATCCAAAGATCTTACCCTCAATTTCTCAAAAGTTTCTGCAATTTTTGTTAAAAATTTTTCTAGTTTACCATTATCAGTTGTAGCTAATTGTAAAAGATTTGTAGAAATCTTTATATAAGAATCAGCTACATCTTTATGTTTAGCTGTTTGCCGATCTGCGCGAACTGTTGCTTCTTTTAGATTATGATGATAAGTTTGCAAAAATGTCATTTCCTGATCAAAAAAGTCATTCACATCTTTTACAGTTGCAGACAAGTAATATTCATCCGTGGTGGTAGAAAATGATTTTACCAAACCACCAAATACTTCCATTTTATTTTTTCCTAAAATAAAACAAAGGATTCATATTTTCTTTCCAAATTAGAAACTTTATCTAAACACCAATCAATGTCTTTACCTCTCACACAAAGATCTTGATCATATTCTAAAAATACTCTTAAATTATGATCATTTCGAAAAACTGGGTGGTTTGCTAGTCTTGTTAAAAACATTTCGTGCATAGCAACAGTTTTTTTAAATGTTGCTAAATACTCGCTGTAATAAAAGTATAATATTACATAAATTGGTAAACTTCAATGAAGATTATTAAGTAGGCTATAAGAATGTTTAAATACACTATTTAACTTACGCTTCCAATTCTTGTTTCATTTTATTGAATTCTTCGCGAGTCATGTTACCCTCACCTTCCCCAAGTTTTTGTAATTTTTCTCTAGATGCATCGAAATCTGGTCGTGGTGGACAAGGAGGAATCTGAAAATGCAATTTTTCTTGTATATTACTTACAGTCAAGGTTACACATTTAAGATTCAAAACTGACAGAAAGATGAGACAAAAAACATACAATATAGCCAGCATATTCTTCATTTTCTTCAAATCGATCGTGTAACCACACAAATTCTTCGTGTTGCCTTACTACTAAATTATCTGGCTTTTGAAATTCGGGTAGTGTAGTTTTCGTATGTACAGTGAATTTTACTTTATCCTTTTCGCTAAGAGCATCTGAAATATCCACCTGCAATGACTTGTCAGAGAGATCTACATTCTCTGCATGAATTGTCTGTAATTATAAATTCTCAGTATTAAAATGACGAAATCGTGAAGTTCAGGTGAAAACAACCAACAGGATATTACTGAATTTCAACGAATTATAATTATTATTTGAGCGATAAAGAAAACTAATTGAAAAATATAAATACCTTCTTAGGAGGGACGTTACTTAAAATGTCGGTAGTATCGCATATACCGTCCTGAAACATTTTCTTCGATTAAAAACTTGCCAAGGATATTTACAACGACGTGAAAAGTTAAACCGCACAATAGTAAATTCGTTACGAAGGCAGATCGGCGGATAAGTGCAGATAAGTGATAACAGGTTCCACCTACCATCATGGCGTCCAAGCGTCTTTTTGACACGTTCTGCGTTTGACGATATATGTCTGTCAGAATTAATCAGATAATGATCTAAAACTGACACCCGCAATGACGCGGTTGTAACCTGCAGTAGAGATTGTTATTCTTATGTTTGTATTTTCTTGCAAATAATCAACAATGGAAAACTTTCTACTGGTAAAACACACTTAACCGAATCATAACATGCCAGAATGCGGTATTCTCGAAAAACGTATGTCTGTTGATAAATGAACTGTAAGAAATAGTTATTGTTCGCAAACTCACAGATACCCTAAGACAATATCTTTCCTATTAATGTATAATTTAACAATACATGTATTTTCATTGTAAACTATATCAAACAAATAAAGTAATATTTAAATTAATTTAAGAATACTTCCTTGACACGTGTATCGGACGCATAAATAATTGATTCGTTAATGAATGTCTATGAAAAGCATAAATAATTGATATACTTGTATAACAATAACTTTCAACTTTTAACGTTTTGTTATAACAGTATGAAAATATAAATTCAATATTATCGATAAGACTTCGTATCATGTTTATGAGTTACAACATATTCTGTAGAACGATTACAATATTTATTAAATACAATCATATCGTATTTAATTATTTCAGATGAAATTTCGTAGGAAATTTAAAGAACTACGGAGATTCGAATTCGACAAAGCAGCCGCTTTATTCTGCTTTATTCATTGATCTATAGAAGACATCCTTTATTAATACATTCACAGTCCGTGACCTGTATTGTATAGGGTTCATAGCGTTGTCCTATTAGATATGCCATTGAATAATCGAACAGTGAACGTCGTTACAATATTTTGTTTAGTTTACATAAGACATGTTTTGCTCACGAGTAATGATAAGCATGCCTGATATACTGAAGATAATAAATTATACAATTCATTTATTTTTCTTCATAATAAAATGAATATGTATTATACCATTGATCACGTGTGTACATATTACATGTACAGGGTGTCCCAAAAGTCGGGGAGGAGCCGGAAATGGGTGGTAGCTGAGACGATTCTGAACAACAATTTCCTTTGCAAAAATGTCGGATGGGGCTTCGTTAAGGAGATATTAAGAGAAAACCCCGACCAATCAGAGCGCGCGTAGACCGTTGGAGCGGCCGCGGTAGCGAAGGCTACGCGTTAGGCGGCAGCGTCAATGTCCTACGATGCACGACGAGTCACTTGTTCGCGTACAAGCGCGGCCGCCAGCGCGTAGCCTTCGCTACCGCGGCCGCTCGAACGGTCT